GATGGACGTAGCTACCGTGACGTCACCCGTTGGTTTCTGCACTGAGAAAATGAAGCCAGGGTTTTGCTACTTCCTGGTTGACATCTTGGATTTTTGGAGCCAGTGACGCAAAAATCGTCAGAGGGGCGGAGCCATAGGAGCAGCGATTGGTCAGACGGATTGAGAGGCGGGCCCTCTCTGCCCCGCCCACATTTACCGCCTTCTGCTCGCTTCGTCTGTATCGTCGCTGCCGACTGTCAATCAAGCCAGCCACGCCCCTTGCCCCGCAAAATGTTGATGATTTTTTAAAAATTCAGTATTGATTTATTTTCAGATTGGCCACCTGATCTCTGGATTTGACCATGAAAACTAATAAGAAAAAAATCCTGAGCTGTAGGAATGCAGTATTTCATGATCTGTGATCACTTCTTTTCACATTCAGTCTATGGGAGCCAGGGCTTTTTGGAGCCAGGACTAGTGGACGTAGTGATACTGCAGGTTTTGACATTTCCGGGTTGGCTTCATTTTTCGGGGCCGGTTGCTACGTCCATCTTTTATACAGTCTATGGTTTTGGCACAGATTAGGGCTGCCTTATGGATGCCGTGACAGTATTTACCTTTATTTGCAAACAAAAGCTTAACATTTAGTAACACTACTGATGCTGATGGAGCATAAATAGTCGGTGGTTCGTAATGTGCGTAGTCACAAGTAAACGCAGCGTGTACATGTGTTACTGGGTGTATGTCTGTGTTTGTGCCAACGCCTGTGTTTTCAAGCAGGGAAAAAAATGATGATACTAAACGCAATTCATCATCGTGACTCATGCAGCCACAACCTTTTCTATGTATTTACGTTAACGGGTTTTTGTGACACCATGATGCCATAACACGCTATCCAGACTTGCAGGTCCCAGCTGTTGGACCACTGCTAATCCTTGCAGCGGTTCCCATTTCATTTGTATGCAAAATATACACAAAACTGTGTGCGCTCATGACACTGATGGCAAGCTTAGTTTTTATTTTTATTTATTTATTTTTTTGCCATAAAGATTAAATCATCTGAGGCAGCAGTCCTTGCAGAAACAAGGAGGAAAAATGATTAATTAAGGTGTGTCATGAATGCACACAGCTCTCATCATCACTCATTCACTGACAACAAGACACTGCATCAGGTTAGATATCACAGCCATCAATATGTTCGCTTCAGGAAGCATTCAAACACGTTTAGTTTTTGCACACTTTACTGTGTTGGAAATGAAATGTCTGAAGGCTAAAATTAGATTTTTTTCCCCCCACCAATCTGCACTACTGACATATGACAGAGAAAACATGTTTTCACGAAACTGAACAGGCTGACAGACTGGACATAGTTTGGAAAGGCACACACCACAGGTCCTATATTAGATTTTACTATTCATTCTGCATGCCAGCAGAAAAACTAAGTCATGAGGTTCAAGGAACTCTCTGTAGACCGCCACTATGAACTATGGGGAGGTATAGATGAGGGCAGGGGAATAAAATCAATTCTAAAGCTCTGAGTGTTCCAAAGAGAACAGTGGCCTCAATAATAGAGTTGGCCCCCTGGCCATACTGAGCAACCGAGCATGACGGTCCTTGGTCGAGAGGTGACCGGGGACCCAATAGTTACTTTAATAGAGTATCGGAAGTTCTTTGCAGAGATGGGAGAGCCTCCCAAAAGGCTAACTATCTCAGCAGAACTCCATCAGCCAGGCCTTCATGGCAGAATTGAGTAAAACGCATGACAGCCCGCTTAGGGTTTAACAAACTGCATTTAAAGGATTCTAACAGCATGAGAGAAAAGATACTCAGAGGATCTGAGACAAAAATTGAACTATTTGGCCAGAACTCCATGCATTAATTCTGGTGAACACCATTCTCTGCTTATCATCTGCTAACACCACTGTTACAGCGAAACCTGGTGGTAGCAGCATCACACTGGGGCTGCTTCTCAGCAGCAGAGACAGGGAGAAAGGTCAGAACCGAGTGAAGGATGAATGTAGTCTGAAAAAGACAGGTACTTGAGGAAAAACCTGCTCCAGAGTGCAGGCGACAGTTCACCGCTCTGCACAACAGTGAACCAAAGCATACAGCCAAGACAACACTCGAGGGGCTTCAGGACAAGTCTGTGTCTGTCCTTGAGTGTCCCGGCTAAAACCCAGACTTAAACCCCATTGAAAATCTGTGTTCAGTTCACAGATGCTGCCCAGCCAATCTGATGGAGCTTTACAGGATGTGCCAGGAAGAATGGGATAAACAGCCCAAATCCAGATGTGCAAATCCTGCACAGCCGTACCCAAGAAGCCGAGAAGTTGTGTGTTGCCAAACAAGATTGTGCTGAATTAAAGGGTTAAGAGGTTTGAATACATTTGTAGAGAACAGACTTAAGGTTTTAATTTTTGAATAAATTTGAAATAATGTTTAAAACTTGCTTGCTTTGTGCCAGCTGGTGAGTGAATGTAGACTAATGGGAAAAAAGCCCCTTTAAACAAATATACAACATAAAGTATGCAAAAACTGAAGAGGTCCAAATATTTTCTGAAGGGACTGTATCTGCAGCAACGACACTAAAACTAAATGTGCTCATGACTAAAAGCTGTGTTGGGACGGTGAAAACCTGAGAGTTTTTGAGGTGGATGATATATCTCAGCAATTACTCAAACCTGGAAGGCTGTCCATTGTCCTCCCCTGATTATATTTGTGACATTCTGCGTATTTATTTGTGACACTTTCACAAAATCCCTTTCACTACAAATGTGAAATTATTCCACCTTTTCCTTTTAAATCTGTGATCACTACGTGCATCACCAGCTCACTGAACTGCGGACCACAACACACACACCCGAAGTGCCAAAAGCTGTCAAATGCTTATCTTACTTATCCTGCAGCGGTACATCACATCACATTCTACTCGGAGTGGTAGCTATCTTGCCAACACTGCACTAAATATTCATTACTATAATGGAGGTGAGGTGGAAGCTGGAGGGCACAATACTACAGGTTGTGCTTCCAACCGCACCGGGCTACAGGAATGCTGCTGCCACAAACACACAAATGTCAGCACACACGGAACGGGGCACTGGCTAAATATTCAGCATTACAAATAATGGAAATTAACAGCAGCTTTGGCTCAGAAGTCTGTATGCAAGGGACTGTTTTTCAATTAGAAGATGTAAGCAAACAAATATGTGCTTACCAAACGTAGAATACGTGCTGTGTGAGTGTTTGGAGTTGATACAGAGGCTTGTCACACTGTGAGGTGGAATGTTTTGTGGTTTATGAGTGTCTGTTCTGCAGGAGTGGAGGGTGAGGGGAGCCAGACAAGAGCTGACAACAGTGTTTTATGCCTTTCTATACTTTTCCTCCACCGTAACCCTGGGAGAAATGAAAAAAAAAGTCCTCATGAGGACAGCATGGTGCCATCACCTGGCTACCACCGGGCGCAGCCCCGGCGCAGCAACCCGCGGTGATCAGAATCTTCTCAAGGCGGCCCTCCTTCTCTACCTGACAGGTCCTCCCCCCCAGCACCCAGCAGGAAAATGGAGACTATTTAAGAAACGTGCAAGGAGGACAGTAAATGTCTCCTCTTGTCAATAACACCACCTGTGTCTGAGCTATCCCTCGCTCTCAGCAGCAACAACACCTGCTACTTTTCAACCAAAGATGTAATGTCGTTCTAAGGGATGCTTCAGCAACATCAACAACATGAAAGTTGGAGATTTTTAACGGACATATCGGTCACATCTGGGACAGAAACCAATCAAAACTTTTAGTGCCAAGTAGGACTCAAGAGCAAGAAAAACTGCATCCTACACTTCCCATAATGCAACTTGGCAGCAAGTTTGCTAAACACCTACATCTTTTAAACTCAACCGTGCAAAAATAATTAAAATCTCAAATCCAATCATAATCTACTGATATGACGACATTACCAGCATTATTTTCAGAGACAGTGTGTTTTACTGGCTGCTTAGTCCTCCCAGTGATGATAAAAGCACTTTTCATCTTGTCTGAATGACTTACCACGACATAAAGGGACAAAAGGATATGTGTACAGACTCTGTGTACTATACATAAATCCCTTTCCATGCCCTACAATTAATCACCTTTACACAAAAGGGCAAAGGTTCAGACATCCAATTGAACTGGGGGGTAAATGGATGAGACAGACAAAGAGGGTTGGAGGGAGAGTGCAAGATCCCCTGATATTTGAGCAATTCTAAAAATAGATATCCAGTATTGTATTTCTCAAAAAAAAAACAGAGAATGAAAAAAGGAGCAAACACTATATATCCACTCCATTGTGAAGGCGAACGCTCGGGGTGACGTGCGTTGGCATCAGGTGCTCATATAAATTACACCACTGTTTATGAACTCTGTGTCGGGCTGAACATGAAGCCTCTTCATTTCTTAAAGACTGGTAATGTTACCCCTCGTTTGGCTCATCAGCTACTGGAGTGACTCCAGGTCTGAAAGAGTCATATAGTCAGCAGACTCCAACTTATATGTGAGACTGAATAAATTTTGCATGTGAACTTCTAGTGACATGACTAGGTTCTGCCAATCAGAGAAGAAAACCAACATTTGCCGAGTTGACGTGCTGCGGGATTTATTTCAAAGTTTGTGTAACATGGAGAAGTTGACTTAAGCAGACTGCAAGCAAGAAAAAAAAAGTTACAGCTGGTGCTGGCAAATAAATGCCAACAGGGTGATCGAGATCCAAAAGTGATCGCCCTTTCTAACAGAAGTTTAATAAAACAGACACGTTATGATCGATTTTTGTATGAAATGGCTGTGCACGCACAAGCAAATACAAACAGGTTTATTTTTACAATTACACACGACTTGTGCTCAGACGTCTGGTGCAGCCGGCTTTATTGATTATAGTGGAAGTGTAGTGTAGCAGCGGGCGACTCCGCCAGCGATCCTCAAACATTACGCATTCAGTGTAGCCACAGGGGCAGGCAGGAGTTAAATGTCAAATGTCACAGCTCTGAACTTACCGTTCCACTGAGTACTCAATCAGACAGCGGCTTTTATTTACCGACTCCTTTGCCGTTTCCAAATGTCACACACCGCACCTGCAGGAAAAAAAAAACACAGAAACAATTGTATTAATATATGTGTGATGTGGCTGTTAAGATGAAATACTCAGTAGCAAGTTATCAGCGCCACGTTATTATCTCAAATAAATATTACATAATCCCAAACAACAAAGATTATGCGAATGCATTCAGGGTTATTAGATTGTTTTCTATCAAAATATTGAATGAATTATTGGTAGTCTGGTTCAGAGGCATCCTACACCCAGTGAACAGGGGCAGTCCTTTCAGCGCAGTGCTAAAATAAGCCTTAAAAGGAGTCGACATTACGTTTTTTTTGAAGAGATGCTGAAAAAAATCAACTTCAAGCAAACAAATCAAGGCCAAGAATCTCTTTGGGGCACCCAGTGGAACGTCACCCCAGCATGTGAAGAAAGTACTGGTCAGCACCCTGCTGACCCTGCCCCGGGCGGCTCGGCTCTGACCAGCAGCAACTGCAGCAATACCGCAGCACAACAGCATTGACAAAGGGTGGCAGTAAACAGCCAAGACATCCAAGGAGGCATGGGAAAAAGGGAGCAGATGTTGCCCCATTGTCCAATCACATTAGCGACTGCGATTCCATCCTTACAGGCACAAGGACGGAAGGGTATCTTGAAAACAAAAAAAAACTGAGGTGACACTGGCAAGGTTTAGCATGGACTGAAACTGAGTGGCAGGCTTCTAAGTAAATTAAAATCAAGTTACTTGTCTCACACTGCCCAACCAACCTGTCCTTCAGCAGTGACAAACAGAGAAAAGAGCAAACAACACAAGTTCATGCATCAATAACACATTTAACGCTGATACCAGGAAACACGCACGCAATGCAAAGTCGCACCCCGGCATCATCACGTTCATTAACGACAACAAAACGTAAAATTAGCATCTCATTCACCAACCACACTGAAAAGAGATGACTTGTCTGTTCAAAAAAAAGAGAAAAGGCTTTTGGGGTGAGTATTGCACACCATATGGTAGCTGCTTGGGCATATGGGCAACGTGGTTGGAAAAAAAAACAAAAACGCTCACCATCGTCTACTGCTTCTTCCACCATCCTATGAATGTGTCTCCATCATCTGTATTCAACGCATTCACCAAGGTGCTTTACACCTCTCTGAGCTGCCACAAGGACTTCTTGCACAGGAGCCACCTTCCTCAAAGTTTGCAGTAATTTACATATTTTTCCATGTAGCACATGCTTGGGCATGTTAATAGGCATATATGGTTCTCCATGTATAAAAACAAGTTTAGGTGGCCAGGCGTGCTATTTTTGCTCAGATGGAAAGGTGCTGCCCTGCCGACCTGCACTCAGCGGATATCAGATGTAACGTCCTGTCTGAGCCTGGAAAAGATCAGGTACTCTGTTCAGAACCAAAGGGGGGGGGGGGATTTAAAAAAGTATGGGGACCCTTTGTAAGATATCTTTCTAATCCCCATTGATCCTACTTACATCCATCTTTAATTTATTTACTGCAATTTCATTTTGAGACTGGGAAAGGGGAAATAAAGATAAGGAAAGAGAAAGAACTTGACATGCAGTTTTACAGCCTTGTACATTTCTTGCTGCACTGAGGACTTGTTCCCAGTGTCACTCTCTGATTATGTTGGTTTTTGCCAGGAATGTTTTGCAGATTGAGCCATGTTTTTTCTTTCTTTTTTCCCTTTTGTTTTTCTGTTTTTGGTTGCAAGGTGGATCGATGGTTAGCACCGTTGCCTCGCAGCATGAAGGTCGCCGGTTCATGTCCCTTTAAGGACACCCGGGATCTTTCTGGTGGAGTCTCCATGTTCTCCCCGTGCAGCGTGGGTTCTCTCTGGGTTCTCCGGCTTCCTCCCACACAGTCCAAAAACATGTTGAGGTTAATTGGTGATTCTAAATTGTCCATAGGTGTGAATGTGAGTGTGCTTGGTTGTCTGTCTCTAAGTGTGGCCCTGCGATGGACTGGCGACCTGTCCAGGGTGTCTCCTGCCTTCACCCTGAGTCAGCTGGGACAGACTCCAGCCCCCTCCTAGTGAGGATTAAGCGGTGTATTGATAATGGATGGATGGATGGATGGATGGATGGATGTTTTTTGTTTGGTTTGTCTTTGTCACTTTCACGGTTTTGGGTTGTTGTTGTACAAATATTCTGCATAGAACTTGTGCTCACTACTACTTCTAACTTTACACTGCTGTGAAATGCACAAAGAAAATCTTTATATTGTTAATTCTCTTGTTTGAAAATTCAATAAAAAGATCATTGACTGAAAAAAAAAAACAAGTTTTGCAATGTGACTAATAGTACATTTGTCTTACATATTAAAACACACCGTGCACTATAGGCTAGTAGTTTAATATATTTTAATAAATCATAAATTCAAACACCAGAAGCGTCATGTTATGCTAATTTAGCACAATCCTAAAATCAAATCCACTTCAATTGCAAACCACACATATGTTCTCTGCACTTGGAATAACATGACTAACCCTGCGCTTATTCAGTGCAGATAAATAAAATAGACTTTTTACATAAATGGCTACCGAAAAATTCAGCGAATGTACCAATAAATAAGCAATGACCTCTTCTTACATGTACCAACATGAGACAGCATGTGCCAGCTTTAATAGTGGATTTTCATCATTACTATTCAGCTGTACAGTTTGACGTGAGATAAACCAGAAGTTAGCACTGAAACTGGATCATCTCTGCTTGTTTTTCTGCTAATACGGTGCAAGATTGGTTACATAAGTCAACAGTGAGTCACCTTGTGTTTCCTCCCTCTTGTGCCTTACGACCAAGCAACGCAACAAAGGACGACAGGCTACACTAGCGCTCACACTGTCTAGTCTCTTAGGGCACACCGCTGCTAATTTAGCAGTAGTGAATGCATCAGTTTGAGTGTAAGAACATTCTACCACAGCAACTATCTGCTCTGGGGATGCTCCCTTGCCTCATCCGCTAACTATCAAGAGCAGAGGGAAACAATCCAGCAGTGACAGTAGAGACGCTGTTGTTTGCTCTTGAACTATGGGGATGTGCGGAGTTAAAAAAAGACGACAAGACAGCGAAATCTCAGTGAAATAGAGGATGATATCTTGAAATGACCCTTCCTCTCCCCCTCTCCTTGCAGTAGCAGGGAATCTGCATTACGTGGTTCATCCTGACAGTCGTTTTTTTTCCCCACTGTGATAAGTCTGTCACAAAATCCACAGCAGCTGTAAATCTTATTGGAAACAGCTCCTGATTCAGTGTTTTTTTTTCTGCATTCTCAGTAACTACGCCTGCGGTTTCCACTCGAGCAGCCGAAACGCGGTGGCAGATGTCAATCGAGATAAATTAAAGACAACAACTGGCGCGCAATTACATGTTAATGAATCATGAATGAAACGCTTAGCTTGCTGATTCCTAAATGAGCTTCGTACATCACGGAGCTTCTGAATTTATGAAACCTAAAGACAAAACAATTTTCGAGCGGCAACTGCTGTTAACGACGCTCGGCCCTGAGCTCATTCAAACTTTCAAACGCAGCAGCGCAATTAACCCTGTTTCTGCAGTGAGGAAAAAGTTCACTTGTGTTGTCACGTCGCAATTACCGGAGGCGAGAGAAGCAAAACAGCGTTCGACGATCTCTGCTTGCTCCTTTCAATTAGTTCAGGAGAGAAACCGCCATAAATAAGACAAGCCGGACTGGACTGTAAGATTAGTTTATCGGTGGTTTCACTGTTCATCCTCAAACATCTGCATTCTTAGTTTAGGCTGCAGTTCGGGCTCACTCATCCCTTTTTTGTGTGTTGAGAAAACCTAACAAACCCAGTCTCATGCATATCTTGTGGAGACCTCAATATTTAATGCTGCATATCTGCAGACCAAACTAATAGAAATGCAGCCGGTGTTACAATGCTTTCTCCTCACTGTCTTTTTCACTGTAACAGTTCTGTGAAGGAAGAATCTTTACCTCATTCATAGGGGAGGAAACGCAAACAGCTCCTAAATACAAATAACATGGAAATTGTGGTAATTAGCGACGGTATTCCATTAAATTAACATATATATAACTTACTACTTCTGTATTATTTTTGGATTTCTTATTTCTCTTTAAGCATCTTCGGACATTTTCAATGAAGAAAAAAAAAAAAGCATTATCAGTATTTACAGTTGGTCAAATCAAACTACCCGTACGAAAACAGTACAGGGATGCACTGCAGCTTTTCTTTGTATGTTCAACAACCTGTGAGATGCCGACTGTTTTGTCTAAGTTTTCGTTGCTGCCGCTTGTTAATCAATGAAGGGCTCTACTGCAGCATCAAGAGGAGCACTTACTCAAAATGTCAGTCGTTTATTTTCTATGTAAATAAAAAGACATTTCACAAATATTCCTAAACATAAACCTGTATCAGTTACGTCACCATTAACAAAACTGGCGACCTGAGAGGAGTAAGTAACTTTCATATACAGTATCATAGCTAGAATTTAATTATATGATGTTTCATATGGGGGCTGCAGGGTGGCGCAGTTGGTAGCACTGTTGCCTCGCAGCAAGAAGGTCGCCGGTTCGCGTCCCGGTGGGGGGCACCGGAATCTTTCAGCGTGGGTTCTCTCCGGGTTCTCCAGCTTCCTCCCACACAGTCCAAAAACATGGTGAGGTTAACTGGTGATTCTAAATTGTCCATAGGTGTGAATGTGAGTGTGCTTGGTTGTCTGTCTCTGGTTGTGTAGCCCTGTGATAGACTGGTTACCTGTCCAGGGTGTCCGCTTCGTCCTAAGTCGGCTGGGATAGACTCCAGCCCCCCATGACCCTAGTGAGGATTAAGCGATGTACAGATAATGGATGGATGGCTGGATGTTTCATATGTAACGTAGGCTGATTGTAGTTTTTGTCATCTGATTGTAAAATCTCCAAAACATCTAATCCCTGACTGCAGTTACTGCCAAATCCGATCCTACCCATCCCATATGAAACACACTGTACCAAGTCACATTCATTTTTGAAGTCTTTTGTTGTTTTGTTGGCAAGAATTAC